GGGATCCCCGAGACCCCCGGAGTGGGGAGAACGGAGAGGGGCGATACCGGAGCTGGGGGACCCCCGACGGCCTGGAGAGGGGGGGCAGTTCTGGGACAACGAAATGGGTGCCCGGAGAGGGGGCATTCCCAGGATTCCCGGGCCCCCAGCAGCCTGGAGAGGGGGAACTCAGGAGAGGGGGGACCCGTGGGACCCCTGTGTCCTAGTTAGAGCAGCCGGGCCCAGTTTCGTGGGTGTAACATGGGTGTAACCCAAACTGGGTGTTCTACACCGTCCCTGCCATTTCCCAGGGACTGTTAACAATGGGTCGTTTGCAGCAGCTGCTCAGAGCACACCTGACCCCTCGGCTGCAGTTATGGGTGATGTTAACTCCCCTCCAGGGACTCATTAGCACCTCCACACCCAGCCTGAGGGGTCACGGCTGCTAATGGGCCACCAAGGATTCCAAAAATATCACACGGCTCACATCACCCACTGTGGAACTCCCTGCCCTGGGGGAGGTACTGGGCATTCCCACTCGAACCTGAGTGTGTATAATCTTGGGGTCTTGGGACTTCTGGGCCCGTTTGTCCAATCCAGAGGAGGACCAGAACCTCAACCAGACTGTGATCACCACTCTCGACCAGACTGCAACCACCACTCTCACCAACAGGTTTTCCCTCTCCTTTTACTTTGGACTCAGGGGGACCACGTGGGGCTCCAAAATAAACACCACTCTGTTCGTGGCCCAGGGTGCTGGGTATTCCATCTGGGTTTTGTGGGTTAAAACCAGTTGTTTGTCCATATACTTGTATTTATTGTGTTATTTTTATTAAATTGTAACTCTGACTTATAATCTCTTTTGAGTTGGGTTCATTTCTCCAGCACACCCCGGAGAAGGGATCCCTGGGACCTCTGAAACCCTTGGCATTCCTGAGTGGGACCCTGGAGAGGGGGCAATCCCAGAACCCCAAAGTGGGGAAACCACAGAGGCACAGAGGCTTGGGATTCCTGGGACCCCCTGGCAGCTTGGAGAGGGTGGTGGCCCCAGAGAGGGGGAACCCCCAGTACATGTGGGACCCCCAGCAGCCCAGACAGAGGGGACCCCTAGAACCCCAAAGTGGAGAGACCAGAGAGGGGGATCTCCTGGGAGGGTTTTTTGGGCTGAATGTTGGTATTTTGGAGGTTTTTACAGTTGCAAGATGCTTGATGGCTTTTAGATATGGACTTGGACTGGAGGAACCCCCAACCCAACGTGCTCACTCCTTGTTTTTGCTCCTCAAAACAGGATTTCTCCTTCCTTGGCCAGATGGAGGAGGAGGCTGCGAGGAAGAGGAAGATGCTGTGGGACAGCCAGGCAGGTGAGGAGGAAGTCAGTGCCCCTTTACCCCTGTCCTTCCTACATCTTCCAGCTGAGCATCACCCCGGGCTGTAGGACAACCCTGCTGCTGCCGCTGTCCTGCCAGGGATGGATTTGGGGGGATGTCCTTGCCCTTTCCTCTGGCCTGGAGGCAAATCCCCTCTCTGTCCTTTCTTCCTGCCCCAGGCCCTGAGCTGAGGACGGAGAGCATGGAGGACAAATCCCCCCGGCAGAACCTGGTGGGAGAGGCTGTTTTGAAGGGCTCCAGGGCACAGGAAGGCACTGGGGAGGAAAAGTCCCGGACATTCCCCAGGAGGAGGGACTCTAAAGCCAGCCCAGGGTGCTTCGAGGAGGAAAGACTCACCCTGTGCTGGGAAGGCAGCCAGAGCTTGAGCCAGAGCTCTGACCTGGTGGTCCCTGAGCAGTTTCACACTCAGGAGAAGCCTTACAAGTGCTTGGAATGTGGGAAGAGCTTCAGATGGAACTCCCACCTCCTCACCCACCAGCGCATCCACACTGGGGAACGGCCCTACAGGTGTGGGGAATGTGGGAAGAGCTTCAGGCACAGCTCCCACCTCACCACCCATCAGAATTTCCACAGTGGGGACCGGCCCTACACATGTGGGGATTGTGGGAGAAGCTTCAGCCGGAACTCTGACCTGATCTGCCACCAGAAGATCCACACTGGGGAACGGCCCTACAAGTGCTTGGAATGTGGGAAGAGCTTCAGCAAGAGCACTGCCCTCCTCACCCACCAGCACCTGCACACAGGGGAACAGCCCTACACGTGTGGGGAGTGTGGGAAGAGCTTCAGCCAGAGCTCCAACCTCATCACCCACCAGCGTGTCCACACTGGAGAACGGCCCTACACGTGTGGGGAATGTGGGAAAAGCTTCAGCCAGAGCTCCAGCCTGACCTGCCACCGAAAGATCCACACTGGAGAACGGCCCTACAAGTGCTTGGAATGTGGGAAAAGCTTCAGCAAGAGCTCCCACCTGATTCGCCACCAGCAGATCCACACGGGGGAACGGCCCTACAAGTGCTTGAAGTGTGGGAAGAGCTTCAACGTCAGCTCCAACCTGATCCGCCACCAGCAGATCCACATCGGGCAACAGTCCTGAAAGTGGGGGGGATGTGGGACAACCTTCAGTGCCAGCTGCACCTTCATCACCCACCAGGAATCCACACCAAGGAGAGGCCCTACACGTGTGGGGAGCATGGGAGGAGCTTCATCCACTGCTCCAACTCCATCACCCATCGGAGGAGCCTTGTTAGGAAGAGACCTGGTGCCCCACGTCCTGGGTGATCCACGTTGGGCACAGCCCTAGTGATCCGTGTTCCCAGTGATCCGTGCTGGGCAGTGTACTGGGGTTTGGTAGCAGGGGGGACTCCAGGGGTGGGTTCTGTGAGCAGCTTCCAGAAGCTTCCCCCATGTCTGGCATCTGTTCTGACCCGTCCTGAAGGTGAGGGTGACCCAGGTTCTCATTCATCGATCCCTTGGGGCAGATTAGAGTGAAAGGACAGTAAATGATGGCTGTTTATAAATATATATGTGTAGGGTTTATTTTAGAACAGTTTGGTTGCCATGTAAAGCAGGTTTGGAGCCATTTTGGTTCTTATCTCTAGTAATAAAAAAGCATAAAAGAAACACTTAAGAAAACTTACAAGGGAAAAGAAAGAATCAGAGTAGAAAAATACAGAGTCACAACCCGAGGATCCAGCACAGACTTGGTTGTTGCAATTCCCATGTCCCTCGGTCCAAGTGATGATCAGGGTTTTGACCCATCAGGGGTTTTGAGTTTCAGGGAAAGTTTTCAATGCCAAATGTTTACTCTTTTTCTTTAAATCCAGGACTGAGAGCAGTTAATTCTGCTTTCTGAGCAGAGACAGTCGTTGCTAAGGCTGTGATTCGATTCCCTTGGTGGTGGTGGTCACTGCTCAGCCTGTCACTTGTTTTCCCTCCCATACAAAGCTGCTTCCACTGGGTACAATTCCCAGTCGGGTTTTGGCTGGAATAGGCTCTTTAGTGATCTGCTAGAAACTGTGCAAACACTCCCAGAGCAACATTCTGCCTCTCACAGATAAACAGTTCAGAAGGTTTTGAGGGATCTGGCAGACCCAGAGCTGGGCCTCTCATCAGGGGGTGCTTTGGCCCTTAAAGGCTGCTCTTGCACCATCTGCCCAGGTGAGGAAATTCTTATAGGGCTGTTTTTAAAGGTTCATATAATGGTCTTACCACAAGTCCATGGTGAGCAGTCTAGAGTGGACACCATCCTGCCACTCCCAGGAAGGCAGTTCATGAGCTGTTGGTGGCTCAGGGAGGAGACAGGTGGCTTCTTTTCTTCCTTCCCTGTTTCTGGATTTTCTCATTCAAAAGTAAAGATTTCTTGACTTTCCTTGATCAAGAGGATGCAGAAAAAGGCATGTTTAATACTGTAAACTGTTCTAGATTATCATTGAAGTGGTTTCTCTCAGGTCCTGCACTAATCAATGATCTTTACCATTTGCTTTCTTTGTGGGTACTTGGATTCACATTCTACAAGCAAACCATGCTTAGCAAATATGTCTGTTATTGAAACCAATCCAACTTAGCTTTCTAATTTCAAAGGATACTGGTTTTGCCTTACTGATATAGCTCCTTCCTCAGGGGTGATTCGATTTTCCTGGAATTCCACTGTCCCACATGATAGGAACAACTTCAGGTGTCACAGGTTTTCTTGTTTTCAAGAAAAAAAAACCAAAACTGCTTGGAATTTTTTCCCTTTAGCACTGTGAAAGAAAGGTGTTGAGGGAGGGAGGGGGGAGGAGATGAGATGGCCAGGGTGAGCCAGACACACAAAAGGACCGGCTGATAGCCCCACATTCCAAGCTAATTGCTTCAGAAGACTGCAGGGGGAGGTGAGTTGTTTTTTTCTTCTGGGGCAGGCACTTAACTTTAGCCCTGACTCAGGGAGGGTGTGAGCGAAAAGAAGAGCTCCGGGGTTCATTTTTTGTTTTCGGCCAAGTCACCACCTTTGGCCACGGCCTGGCTCGGCTTCTTGAACGAAGATTCGGGAAGGGCTCTGCCCACGTTTGTTACAAACACGCTGGTGGCTAAGAAGGCCAATATGAGACAGGCACATCTGGCTGCAAAAGGCACAGCAGAAAGACTCCTTAGGTGGTAAATTCTGCAAGGCACGATTCTTTCTGCGTTGTCTTTTCTCCTCAAGGGTGATCCTGCTGCGTTCTCAAAGGCATCAGCAGCGTTA